CCCCCCAAATGAGTAAGTTCTAACTCAGCACGGGAGGCAATGCAGGCCGTAGTGCCTGGACAGCTGTGAGACTGGCTTAGGTCCTGGTTTCAGAAACAAAGCAAGAACATTACATTCTTGGTTCAGCACCTGAGGAGAAAGCAGAGAAAATGGTGGTGAAATGCATCCTTTTCTAGTGCAAGTACAGAAAGGATGATGAGTGCAGCTTTGTGCAGAGGTCGCATGAGTGGCAAAGGGTAGGAGACATAAATAGGAGAGAAGCATCTTTAACACTTCTAATCCTCTATAGTCAAATGAATAAAGGGAAAATTGGAGGTACTGACTGCCTTTTAGACTAGAATGCTATGTCTGTATCCCATGCCTTTTATAAAATATCAGGAACTCCTTAAGCTTTTCAAGAATGTGAAGGAAAACTATAAGGAAATAATGCTATTTGAGCAAGTAGCTGTAATAATAGTGAGTCCTGCATAAAGTGAAAAACTCCTAGTTTTTGTCAGATGATGCTTGATGCCATGGATAGGAAAAGAAAATTTGGAGATCTTTCCCTGACTTTTTATTTTTTTTCTTTCTTTTTTATATTTTTTACAGAGGAAAGCACAAATTACATGCACAGCTATTTTCATTGTTTGGGGTGTCTTGGTCCATCTGGTTATTCCTCCCTTTGTCTTTATGGTGACTGAAGGATGGGATTACATCGAAGGCCTCTATTTCTCATTCATCACCATCACCACCATAGGATTTGGAGATTTTGTTGCTGGTCAGTAACTGTATTTTATGTATTATTTCACTACGTACACATAGCGTAGCACTTCTATTTCCAAACTTTAATTAGAAAAGGTGCTTTCCCAAAACATTTTGCTGAATAAAAGATCAATTAAAGCTAAGTACTCATCCAGTGGGCTGAATCTTGGCTCTTCAATCTTCTTTTAGACACCTAATGCCTTTATTGGGCTAAGTCTGGAGTTTGTAACTCTTTCAGGTGCCCCAGGTCCCTATTTCAGGCAAGGACCTATCCTAGCCACTGTGATAGTTAAGCATCTTTGAATGGGATCCAGTTTACTAAGCAGGTTGCATAAGTACTTAGCAATGCTATCTGCAGCTGTTTAGAACTAGTCAACAGGAAATGTTAAGTATATTGGTGTTTCCCTCCTGAATAACTGCTGTGTTAAGGGCTTTGGAGGTGGTCCTTGTAAGTGGAATTCTGAATCCTTTTCTCAAGGAAGGTACTTATATCCATACCTCAGTGGCAGAGGGAAGACTTATAATTTTCAAACAGGGAAAAAGTTCATTTTCTTAGCTTATAAAAGGAGGATAAATAAGCTGCCATTTTGTTTTAGTCCAGTGGCCAGAATACATGCAGCCAGGAAGTGGAAAACCTGGGACCAACTTTTTCTTTCAGAAGGGTTTCAGATCCCCATTTACCACCTCTCAGAACAGTGTCCAAACAACAAGGCTCTGTTAGTGTAGAAGGGAGTAGCTCTCAGGGTCACAACTTCAAAGTTTTATCAGCTGCGAGTCCTCTTTCAGTAATGTTCTTGTTTTCAATTCCTTGTAGGTGTAAATCCAGATGCAAACTATCATGCCCTTTACAGATACTTTGTGGAGTTATGGATCTATCTGGGACTAGCTTGGCTTTCACTATTTGTTAACTGGAAGGTCAGTATGTTTGTGGAAGTCCATAAAGCAATCAAGAAACGGAGGAAAAAAAGGAAAGAGTCATTTGACAATCATCCTCGGTCTAAAAAACCCCTTCAAATGGGTACCTCAAAAGATGTCAACATTTTCAGCTTCCTTTCAAAGAAGGAAGAGACCTACAATGATCTTATTAAACAAATTGGGAAGAAGGCCCTGAAAACAAGCAATGACAAAATGATTAAAGTAGAAAATGCCAAACAAAATATGCAGAATGCTAATGTAGATGCCCAGGTGATTTACACAAAGACGGAGTCATTTGAGTATGATGAGGCTTCCCTGGACATTCAAAATGGTCATGTTCTGAGACCTCTGCATGATAAACGTATTGGAGACAGCCCTCTAGAAGGAACCATGTTTGTAAACCAACTGGACAGAATTAGTGAAGAAGAAGGTGAAGTGTGGGATTCCAGAGACTATCGACCCTTAATATTTGAAAATGCCAATATAACATTTGTAAATGAAGATGATGATGAAGAGGAAGATATCTCTGACGATGAGGAAACCTCAAAATCCTCCATGGATGATAATCTTGCAGAGGAATCTGAAACTGCAAAAAAACTGGTAAAATTCCCGTCCTCTGATGAATCTACCTTTACCAATAATGAGCTAGAACTTTCTGTGCCTTATGAACAACTGATGAATGAATATAATACAGTAAACAACGTGAAGGCTGCAACGTGAAGTGTTTTTGACAATGGTTTTCTGAAAGTGGTCAGTGCATATTGAAAAGATTAATGGAGCAAGGAGAAGAACGTGTTTTTGCAGCTTCTCCTGTCTCTTTGAAAACAAATGCAAGTCCCAAACTAATAAACTCCAGTGTCCTTTTCCTATCCTAAGTTGGTTTCTGAGCCAGTCAGCTTTGCTTTTCTGAAAAACTTGTAAAATAACAATTGAATTTGGAGTCCTGCTCCTTCTTGGGATTTTATGGTTCTTGAACAACGTAGAAAAGACTAGTTAATACACTGGACCTGCTCTGCATTTCTGCATTTAACTGTGGAAGTAGTTTGGGAGTGTAACTATACTGTTGCAAAGAGGCTGTTCTGGGCATCAAATGTGTTCGGTTACTCCATTAGCCTTTCACCTCTGTAAACCTGGATTTGAATCGTGCTTTGATGACAAATGAAAGCAAGGGGTTTGCTTTTTCCCCTCCCCTGCCCCAAGTTTCCCATTGTTAAGTTGTTACCACAAAAAAAAAATGGTGCAACCACTAGTTGTACTTAATGAGAAACTTCAGATGGAATACCAGGACCCAAATCTGAGCTGAGGTATGCTGGCAGACTGAGAAGGAAGCTTCTGAAGCATCTGTCTAGAATATTTCAGTGCTTGTCAAATTATAGTGAATTGTAATTTCATAAAATAAAATATTAAAATTAAAAATTCCAGAGGAATGGATTGAGAAGGAGCCCTCTAACAAGGAAGAATCACCTGGGATGAAGCTCACCAATTGGGCTGCTAAACTGCATATCAGCCCCAGAACTGTTAACAAGTAAAGTGACTGGAAGACCTATTGATCAAAGCATGTATGAGCATATGCAGGATACAATGAACTTTTTTTAATGTCGAAAGTGTCCTTCCACTGTCCATTTCATAGAGGAAATACTTGAATGAACCTTATACAGTATCTATGTACAGGTGAAGTTTTATTGATGCAGTTTTGAGGAGAAAATCACATTGGGAGGCACAGAGATTCTCCAAATGCCCTAATGCCTATCAAAAGGGACCTGTAGCACTGCTGCTGATCTGCACAGTGTGATAGTCAGTATTGTTTCATGTTTCCTCCCTTTCTCCCTCTCTTGGTACTTCACACTAGACTTGAATGAGAGATGATTTTTTTGAAACAGTTGATTACACTTTGCTTATTCGTTTTGTTTCAAAGTTTGACCTACGTGCATATACAATGGTTATTCTATCCCACTTTCAAGAAGTCTGGGCAATGTCAAATGTTGGGCAAACTGAGATGTGGTCTAGTGATTTAAGGCCTTAAGGCACTTTTTTAAAGGAACTTTGGCTCTAAGCTCCTAAAAGTATTATTTTTTTGGCTTGGAGATTGGCCTCTCATTGGGAAGGAAGTATGTCTCTTTATAACACTTCTGCCCAAATTGTTTTGGCTAGAAAGAAAATTATACCATGGCTTTATTTTTCTTTTCCCATATCTATCTGTTGACCCTGACAACTCTTTCAAATGAGGCTCTTGATTACATGTTGGCAAAAGGTACTGACTTCAGTTGTATCCAATATACTTGGAACAAAAAATACTCAAGACCTTTGAACCTTAACACATCGAGTTCTGTTGTTCGGTTTAGCTTTACAGTATGTAAGTCATTCCAGTATGTCCAAAAGTTTCTGAAGTTCAGCTAACAGTTAAAAGTTCTCATTCTCATTTTCGGCATAATGCTGGCAGACTCACTAGCTCTGTAAGAAGAGGTTATGGAATCTTGCAATGCTAATCTTGAATTACTAGCTATTTCTAATAACTGCAGCTATTGGCTGCAGCTTCAGTTGCTGGCTTCCTCAAAAGAAGGATGAGAAGGACATATGGGAAAGTGACACTCTGGTTGGATAGCCTGTTAATGGGGAAGTTTTGAAGTCATCTACTGTGAAACAAGGGACTGTCTTTATCAGTCATCTTTTCAGAATTTTCCATGTATATGGCATTTTTTTTTCAAATAGAAGTTTGGAAGTTTGGAAGAAATGGAACACAAGGCTAGGGCCACCTCTGTTATATTGGCAAAAACATGGAATCAGCATCATTGGATTTGGTAGTTAATCTGTATTTTCTTAGAATATCACTGAAGAAAAATTCTAATTTGAGATCAAATTTTATTACTGCTATTTGAAGCAGGGGTGGCTGGATACATTTGAATTTTATCTGACAGGAAAGAGGGAGAGGCCATACTGAGAGGATTTTGATTTACTTCTAATTTACTTCTAATAGACACCAATACCCCCATCATTTAAAAATGACTCCCAAGCCCTTCAACTATTTCTATATAACTGAAGGGTTGTGGTTAACAGCTATACCTTGTAACTGTAAGAAATGGTAGGTAAGACTTACATGCATTATACACAGGATACTTGTGTAGCCTTCTCTTTTTCTTTTGTTTTAAAAAGTATACATTAACTTAAGAGAAAACGAGAAAGCACTCCATATAGTTTTTGTTGTTCTCCAACTTGTCTTCCATTATTGATGCAAAGATCAAATTTTTAGTGACAGAAAGCTACAAGACAGTGAGGAAAGAGGAGGCTTGCTGAAAGTGCATGAAATGGAAAAGCATACTCCAATCTCCATTAAAAAAAACCCAAAACGCTCTTTAATACAGAAATAATACAACCCAGATACTTGGCTGGGCTGCTTTGATTGGGAGGGGATGTTGCACACTGCAACCCAAACTCTACATTCTCCGTAGCGAAGTGCACTTGTATGCCAGAGCTGAGAATGGATGGGATCTGTTTCATATTATCAAGTTAGATGTGGCTCTCTGGCCTTTCCCAGTGTAGTCAGCATAGACTCTAAGTCTGCGTAATAAGTATCATGGGATTTAAAGTAATAGTTTAAATTTATTAAAACAAAGTATAATATTCCTGCTTTTTTGGGAAACATGATCACACCTCACAAAACTGTTCTCAAGACATCCCACCATGTGCCTTAATGTAATCCTAACACTGGGAAAAAATTCCTTTTTACACAGGGGCCGTCACAATTGGTCTTGTTAAGCCCTACTTTTTTTCAGTGTTTTGGAGGGTTTAGTTGGCGCACAGCTTTCATATTGGTTCTTTCCAAGAAGTTGAACCATTTCCCAGGGCTTTGAAAATTATGGTGCCATCTCAGAATTGCCGAAGTGCTAAGCAAGACAGCTTTTTGCCTGCCTGTCTTCCACGTCTTGAGAAAAGCAGCTGCCTGGCGGATCCAAATTAATGTCTTTCTTCCTTCAGACGTGTATGTCCTGAAGTGAGTTAGAGGGATGTCCAGGCTGGATTCTGAGTTATTCAGCCCCAGAAGTGCCTGTGAGTGAATTCCCCCATGCTACTTGGTTAAAGTCTTTTATTTATTTCAATTACCTGGTCAATCTGGAAACATTTTCTTCAGATGCTGGGTAAGATTTTGCTTAACCTGTAACATTAACAGCTGTCTTAATGCTATGGAATTGGTTTTATAGGTGAGACACATCTCCTCCCAGAAAGAGGGGAAAGGAGATTTTTTTAAAAAGGGGGTTGGGGGGCGAAGGGGGAAAGTAAAATCCCAAACCCTAAAAGCACATATAAGGAAGGGATGGAATAGAAGTGGAAACTTTTCTTTCTAGCTATAGTCTACAAGTAGATTGTATTTTCAGTCACATCATATGAAGCATGGGTCTGCTTTCACAATATAAACTCACTAATGTTGCCAAGATGAGCCAATGGTAAAAATAAATCTTGAAATGTGACAACAAAAGGCTATTCCTACAAAAGCCCTCTTAAGTGCTATAGACTGTGACCCCATCCTTGACTTCATTGTGACACTTCTTGATTGTCTTCTGCTATTGAAGCTTATTTTTACCGGGAGGGCATCATTTTCAGATACATATCTCACAGCAGACAGTCTAATACATCTAATACACTGGTACAAAATCACTGAGGAAATACAATAAGTGATGTGTTAAATTTTTTTTTAACTAATCTAATGGTTTGTGATTCTGTTGCTGGCAATGGATGTCACAAAACATGCAGAAATAAAACCAGATTGATAACAGATCCATGGTGACACAGTTGTATATGTTGAGATTTTACTGATTTTATTGTTTTTTTCCAGTTGATCTGGGAGAGTATGTGTAGCGACAGACAAGCATCACTGATGAGGAAAGCAAAAAGCAATATACAAGTCTGTTGGCCTAAACAAAAAAATCCAAGAACTTTATTGTAGACTTGTAATTTTTATGCCTCGTGGGATTCGTTCCATTTGTGATGGATTTACCTTTTAAAAAATTAGCTTGTCTTTCATATGGCTTTTGAAGTTTGTACAGTTCTGACTCCTGTCACTCCATAATATGCCTGTCTGTACTTTGTTGCTGATTGTCACTGGAATCACACTGTATGTAAATATTTGCTAAGTCTTTGTAAAATGTAATTTATTTTAATATTTTGCAATAAAAATTTTACAATTTATCCTCTTTATCATGAGTAGAATGGCAGTCAAAAAATAAGATTTCTTTTTTACAAATACCTATGTTTGTAATGCACCTCACAGATGAGACTGGTCCTGGTCCAAAGAGCTTGACGGTAAGGAGCTGATAAAGCAAGTTTTATGCAGACAGAGACTTGTACTTTATGGGGTACTGATGACTTCAGTTCAACAGCATCTGGTCTTCAATTAGATACAACATAGTAAGGTATTATTCAATGAGGATTTTGGACAGCTGTTGGAAGATAACAAAAGTTTATTCTAGGGCCTGTGTTTTTTTCAAGGGGCTGTTTTTAAAGTAGATGCGCTGAGACAGGAAGTGTTAGAATTGACAGTACTACAATAAAATAGAACAGGCCTTTGACTGCTTTGAATTTTATGCCAGAGCTATTAAAATAGCTGAGTAGATCTTCATGAATTTTTACAAGGTTTCTAGCAGCAATGCTCACCATTTACAGTCCAACTCCAGTAGTTTCCTTAAAACATCTCAGAAAATAGATAACTACTTATCTTAATGGGTAGC